ACGTTGTGGATGAAGTGATAGGGATATTGTAGATTTTTGAATGTGTTTTCTATGTGTGTTTCTCCTTTGGGTAAATATTAGGGGCTGCGAATTCTTAATACTCTTAAGTAGAAACCTATACTTATACCAGATTTAATTTTATAGTAGGAGTTTGAGTAGAAGTTGTCCAGGGTTTTTTTATTGGTAGATTTTCTGTAAATGTCAAATTTAAGTTCGCTATAATTTCTGTGTAACAAGATATCTAGGAAGGGAAAAATGATTTCAGTTTTAAAGCTGAAGTCTGTTGTAGTTGACAAGATGTGGCAAATGTGTGTTTTGTGGGTATATTAGAAGGGAATCGACTATTCTATACATATACGACTATGTACTTTATTTTTTACCAGACTTTGAATTATGACACTTTGTTCCGTCCACATACTTTGACTGACCTTTCAACCACTTGATAAACCAATGACATCCTTGCCTCTGTGTATATAAACACGCGCAGCATATATAATCCTACATTGCTCTCATAAAGTCTCTCCGAGGACGAAACGCATTGGCTAAGTATAGTTTTTCCTCTTGTCTCTTTATATATATATATATATATATATATATATATATATAGATATATAAATGGTTTGAGTAGAAGTTTTCCAGGTCGTTTTTATTGTTAGTTTTTTCTTTTCACCTCATGAACACTCATGAACGTTATCAATTTACAAGCCTTGAAAAACCAATGTCATCATCGCTTCTGTGTACATAAACACATGCAACATAAGAAATCCTACATTGCCTTCATAAAGTCCCTCAGAGAATGAAACGCAACGGCTAAATATAGCTTTTACTCTTGTCTCTTTGTATTCATTTTGTCTCTTCTACAGATACACTCCATCTGAGTATATTTACGCGCACACACACACAAACAGAGCCACACACACACACACACACACACATATATATATATATATATATATATATATATATATATATATATATTTCAAACATGTATTGTTAAATATAAAAGACAGCAATTGTCTATTATGTTTAACCATGAGTCATTCTAAGCTTCGTAGATTAGCTTTACTTTCAAAACTAGAGAAAATAAAGACAAAAACTGTCAAACATATGGATAAAAAAGTAAAGTTTAAAACAATATATATATATATATATATATATATATATATTTCCTATATACTATATATTTCGCTAGAGGGCAACCGGATGTCTAGCCACACTGAAGAGCTGCATTTACAGTCTGTCTGTGGATGACTTATATATATATATATATATATATATATATATATATATATATATATATATATATATATTCGTTTCACCTTTTGAAAGTGAAGTTTGAAAATCCAGAGAAAAATAAAATTCTCTGGTGAAATAAATTATTACAAATGGAGCCTTAAAGTGGTCTGTTTTTTCTTTAAATGAAATTATTCGCTCTGACTTAACATTCAGCTCTCAGGATTTCATCCTCCTTGGGATTATCCTTACGGATTACCAAGATTTTCGTTACTTATATATATATATATATATATATATATATATATATATATAAAGATTTTATTGACTGGAAATTAATATTTAAATGTTAAGTAATCTTTTAATATAATATTATTAACGCCCTATTTTAAATATTATTTTAATAATTTTAATATTGAGCATTATATATAAAGATATCTGCTGTTTCTTAAATATTATCTATCTCTCTATATAAAAGTAGACACTTAGGTCAACAACAAGCGGCGACAATGTGTTTCATGTTTGAAAGCAATCTTCAGGCTATGTGTGTTGTGTGTTGGCTTGATTATTTATATATGCTAGCCAATAGTGCATTATGTGTAGCAAGGTATATTGCATTGTCCTACAGTTATTGGGTGGGCGGTGACGCTTATGTTTCGAATTATTCTAGAAGTTATTTAGTATAAATAACTGTGGATCCGAATGTAATTAATTGTAGCTATTTTATTATTATCATTATTATTTATTAACGGTTACATAATTTTGGAACGTGCAGTCGATAAGTTTGTAAGAAAAAAGAAAAAAAAACAATACTTAATAACATTAACTACGGTCACGACCACAATGTGCTGCGTTCGGAAAATAAAACATCTCTATAACACAAAAAGAAACATGCATACGGCACACATAAAAATTTGAATTGAAAAAATAAAATCAACCTTGATGATGGCTAAAAGTCTAGCTTAAAGCGCTCGGTTTTATAGAACATTTCGACAGTTTCTACACATTCTGTGCACCTCTCCCCAAAAAAGACACTTATTCCAACACAAGAAGATTTAAATAAAAAATCTTGACTGTCGTCTTTAATGAAACACACACACACACACACACACACACACACACACACACACACACACACACACACACACACACACACACACACACATATATATATATATATATATATATATATATATATATATATATATATATATACATATATATATATATATAAAAGCTCAAACACTAATATCCTATGGTTATAATTTATTACATTGGAATCGTAAACACAATCCAAATCATCAGACCTACAAACTCAAAAAAGAAATTGTAAAATATAACTCCGGGCATAAAAAACAAAATTTTAGTGACTGTGTATGTGTGGGAGTGGGAAACAAGTGTGAGAGGGAAATGTATGAAAGCTCTAGAGAGAGGGTGTAACAGAAGAAAGAAGAACAGGAAAGGAATAAAGGTGAAGGTGGGGATTAACAGAGAGAAGTTTTAAAGAGAGGTGTTAAATAACGCCTTAAAAGAGTGAGATACAGATAAATATAAATTATTTTTCAATGCATAATTCGCTACCGATTCGCTGACCTAAATTTAAAAAACAGACGGATTTGATATATATATATATATATATATATATATATATATATATATATAATATCAAATCCGTAATTGGAAAAAGGATAATCCAAGTTTGTTTTTTAATATAAAAATAAGATATATCCATAAAGATAGCTCAGTGTATAGGACACTTCGTTTTCGATGATTCGTTAAGTTCTTTCTCATATATATATATATATATATATGTTTAAATTGCTAATAACCTTCATAGAATATGTTTTATTTTGAACAGTATAATGAGAGAAGTACTGTATTAAAATTCTGCCTCTTGCACTTATTCTTCTAAACTGGATATTGAAGGACGACCACTTCTGTGGATATCTACCACAGGTCCCGTACTCATCAGCTTGGAATGACAATTTCTGATGGTTCTAGCATTTACTGAAACACAAGGTCCATGACGTCACCACATCTGCACTTCTACCACGGATTATCACACTTCGTAACGGGATGTTAACTGAGCGCTCATGAAGTGTCAGGAGTTGTGCCATTCTAGGATATACTTGTTACTCTGATATAAAAACATAAAATTAATAATGAAATTCTATTACATTAAAGATCGCAATATATTTTTTCATGCAAATGTAACGATATTAACAAAAGTACTCTGCATTAGGGAGTTTCTATCCACCTTTTCTGCAGATAACTAACACTTATTTTTCGGTCAAAATAGCAAATAAATGCCTTGTAGTTCCAGATTTAATATTTGAATATTTTTTAAGAGTTCATTACATTTCTCTTTGTAAATTGTTTACAGTGTTATGGATAGGTTAAAGACTTATTCAAAAAAAAAAAAAGATAACAAATCATTCTATACAGTTCGAGTCATCTGTGTAAAAGCAACTAAAAACTCTATTCAACCGAAATAATTGATATCAAAATTGCGTCCGCCCGAGCCAAACACTGACAACGGCTTACAATGAGCTGAGTGCCATGTTTTGCTTCGTGTTTTGACTGTCATTCCAGCGCTGTGGCGATTAGACCGAAATCCGCCCGTCCAAAACACGAATAATCTCACAAACAGAATAGCAGTCTCGTAACGGGCCTCCATTTAAATCAGCCTTTGTTTGGCTTTCCGAGATGGTGTTGATGGACCTGGAAAGGCCACAAAGAGGGCAAGTTCTTTGTCCGTTGTCTTTCCGTTTTTCAACAGGTCCCGCTGATTCTCCTGAATTACTGTTTTTATTAAAGCAATGTGCTTGTATTCACCTCCCCAAACTCCATACCCACCCAACGCAACCCTGATCTTTGTTCCCAAGAAATGCTATAAACAAGAAACCAGACAAAATAAAAAAAGAAAAAAAAAAAAGAAAAGTTTGCTTTCGTTCAGCGGCCGGCACTCTACGACCCGTCATAATATTTTATTCGGCTCGTAAGGAATATGTAATTATTTTTAAATATTTTTTATATTAAATTATATATTACTTTATATTATTTTTTCACTCGTTCGCTACCCGGCGTTTCGTTAACTATAAGATAATCAAATTTAAAATTTAAATTGTCTATTTAAAATACTCTTTCTTCTCTGCCACGCGCGTCCCATCATGATATAGACAATCAGAGCTCTCCACAACTTCCTATATATTGTAACCTGTAGCGGGATTTCTCCCTTTGCTAATGCTACCGCCTCACCCCGTTCCGCCATCCATTAGCACAGGCGCATTAGGTAAGTGGTTCTCCACCTTCTCCTATTCTCTTTGGCCCTCAATATACCACGTGGAGATTACGTTTTCCAATCTCTCTTTCCTCAGTATTTCTTTTCGTAGCCATTTTCATTAAGACTTCCTTGTTGATTACTCACTCCGTCCATAGAATTCTCAGTATCCTTCTGTAGAACCACATTTCTTATGCTTCTAGTGATTTCCTCATCCATGGGAAGCTTATCCAGTATCCACTGTCATATAAGATAATAGATATCCCATAGCAATCCAGCATTCTTTTTTTTTGTTTCTAGCGCCATTTTTCCGTTTCTCAGCGCCTTGCTTAGAATTGCGATGCTTCTTTCGTTAGATCAGTGCGTTTTCGGATCACGGTATATAATATGTTTAAATAATGAAAGAGTCATAAATATGGGAACTGGAACACGGCTCTCTGATTAACAATTCCAAGTCATTATCCATTACAGAACCCATACATCCAAGCTTACAGCACCTGGTATTCCCAAGTGGTCACCTATCTAGGTACTGACCAGGTACAACGTTGCTTAACTTCGGTGATCATACGAGAACCTGTGTTTTCAACTGGCTGTGTATATATATATATATATATATATATATATATATATATATATATATATATATATATATATATATATATATATATATATATATATATATATATATATATATATATATATATATATATATATATATATATATATATATATATATATATATATATATATATATTTCAACTAGCCCCCTTATTATCTATCTATCTATCTATCTATCTATCTATATCTATCATCTATCTATCTATCTATCTATACCCACACGTTTCATTAAATAATATAGACAAGTGTTGTCTATTTATTTTATGTAAATTCTTTTCATAACGTCTAATAAGTTTAATAACATTATCATTGAACGAAGAAAGAAATTCACAATATTGATCCATATTTTTTAATACAATCTAAGCTTCCGGCTTACATAAGCCATTATCAAAGGTGTCAATTACAACATATTAAGCAATATACGGACAAGACAGGTTTTCATCTAGATAAAAAGATTATCTATCACAGTATTTTTATTATTTAGATAATAAAATAAGGTGATGGATACATGTATAGACAGACAATAAAAGACAGTGATAAAAAATAAAAGGACTGTGATAGATAGATAGATAGATAGATAGATAGATAGATAGATAGATAGATAAAATAAGGTGATGGATACATTAATAGACAGAAAATAAAAGACGGTGATAGATAGATAGATAGATAGATAGATAGATAGATAGATAGATAGATAATAAAAAAATACTGTGTTAGGTAATCTTTTTATCTATCACAGAGAGATAAAAACCTCTGATAGATAGATAGATAGATAAATAGATAGATAGATAAAACTAAAACTATGTAGATGTTTTCTCCTGAATACCTTGCTTGGTGTAATTGCTTCCCCACCCAATCGAACGAGAAAAGACGAGGATGGAAATAATTCTTCTTCCTACGCCACTTCGAATTTATGACTTTTAGGATTGCACTTTGGGAGAAAACGAAATGTCAATTTTGAAACGTAATATTGTCAACTGGACTCCATCTTTCAGGTCCCGGGGGATTGGCAATCAACAGTGTCAACACACGTCATTTTTCGCCTTTTGTCATCGCCGCCCCGCGCTTCTATATTATCCTGTCATCGCTTCACGCTTTCAGATGAACTTGAATAATTTCTCACTTTCCGGTTTTACAAAGCGCAACAGAGACTGCAACAATTCTGTAATATTCTCTGTTTAAGACCTTCGGAGGAAATATTTCAACAGTTCGTTCGAAAAATACCAAAGCTGCGCAGTGGGACGAGTTGTGGCTAAATCAAAGGAGTAAGACATAGAACGTAGGCGATCATGGCCGTCCACAACTTCCTCTCCTTAGTAGCTCTTAGTAATTATTGTTTTTTACTATCTCTCCTAATCCCTGTCCTGTCAACTTGTTAGGTAGCTTATTCGTTGCTTTCTGTCTGTTTTTGCCATTTATGACTTGTGGGTGTCAAATTCTCTAAGTCTTTTTTCCTCATTATGTTCTCTAGAATTTTTCAGCTCCCTCTCTCTCTCAAATGTCGTATTTGTTTCCATTTTCCTAAAAAGCTTCGTCGTTACTGACATGTTCGGTCCATGGTATTCTCATTATCCTTCTGTAGAACCACATTTCTGTTGCTTCAGGTTCTCCTGTACATCTGTGATGAGATTGTCCAGTATTCACTGCTATATCAAAACTCAGTTCTCTTTTCTCTGTTTCAAATTAAATTTTCCTGTTTCTTAATACTTTGTTTAGCTTTTGGAAGGCATATTTCGCTATCCCAATGTGCCTTCTGATTTCGAGTTTTTCGTCTTCTGTGAAAACAGTTTATAGAGATTTATATTTTTGGATTCATATTCTTCTGATGAAGTGCTGGTTTAAAGAAGAAGGCTTGCCTGCGATTTCAAATATATATATTTATATATATCCTCATCATCATCTCCATCAGGTCTAGAATTCTTCTCGGATTCTCCTGACGCGTTCCTTCTCTGTCAGACATCGCCGTCGGCAGGTCCTCCAGATGGCATCCAATGTCTTCTACAAGTTGGTCAATGTAGGTGTGATGAGGTCTTCCAAGCGATCTTTCGCTGCGCAATGGGTTTCATAGGAGGGTATCACTCACAAGTTCTGACTTCCTTCCCACCCCCCCAGGAGTGACCAGCTAGCCGAGGCTTTCTCTCTTTTTTTTAGCGAAACTGAGATAGGAGGAAAGTGTCGATACTGGCATTTCTTCCAGCTGATGTTCAATGCAACTCGTAACATCCTTGTGTATGTTCCGTCAAGTGAGGCTTCTTGGTATTTCGTCAGTGTCCATGTTGTTGAGCCGTAGAGCAAGACAGATTCTCTTACGTGGTCTTAAAGAAGTCAGAGAGGGGGGACTTGCAGCTCGTGCTCAGACCATCAAGGACACACCAGACCTACAGAAGTTATGCTGATTTATTTAAGTTCAAATGGATTACTTTCTGCGGCAGACTGGTTGCCAACCAATGTTAAAGAACCCAGCCTGTCCTTCTATTAAACCCATTGCTTGGGGGGGGGGAGAGATGGATTCATACCTTTCCCAAAAGTAATTTTTTCGTAAGTGAATATAACAAACTCAACAGTTTAATTACCTGTCTCTTACTTCCCAGAACAGGGAATCAACTCAAAACACCAGTAGACTCAATATTATTTTATTAGACGGGCGGATGTCTAAACTAAACTCTCATCAGTTCGAGAATTCTCCTGACTCGTTCCTTCCAACCATCTCTGTCAGACATCACCGTCGGTAGGTCCTCCAGATGACATCCAGAGTCATCTTCAAGTTTATCAATATAGGTGTGATGAGGTATTTTGCGGCGCAATGGCTTTCCCTAGGAGAATGTCACTCACAAGTTTTGATTTCTGCAGATTGACCAACTAGCCGAAGCCTTCTTTGTCTTAACGAAACTGAGATAGGAGGAAGGTTTCCATACAGGCGTTTCTTTGTTGGGTGTTTCTTCTAGCTGAGGTTCAATGTAACTCGTAACATCCTTGTGTATGTTCCGTCCATTGAGGCTTCTTGGTGTTTCTTTAGTGTCCATGTTGTTGAGCCGTAGAGCAAGACAGATTCTCTACTGTGGCCTTAAAAAAGTCCCTCATAAGATTGTCAGAGAGGGAGGACTTCCAGATGGTGCTCAGACCATAAAGGATACCCTAGGCCTTGCCTTTTCAGATTTTGATGTCTCTCTCCGTGACTGGATGTTGCTGCCAAGGTAAACAAATTCCTCGACGGATTTAATGTTGCCGTTTTTCAAATTAATTTCTCCTTGGTTGCAGCTGATAAATTCTGTTTTCCCAGCATTAATATAGAGACCAATCTTGCTGGCCAATGAGATGGGGAAGTTTGCTAGCCTTATCAATCGTGTCTGACAAGAAGGCAAGGTCATCTGCATAATCTACGTCTGTTGTTTTTGCTGGGTGACGTGAACTTCTTATTTTTTCAAGGGTGAACCCCAAATCTGTGTTTAGATCAGCAGGTGTTCACAGGGCGTAATCTAGGCACAGAATAAAAAGGAAAGGATCAGGAGTATCTCCCTGCAAGACTCCAGCAACTACATTGAAAAACTCCGTATCGGGAGATCGGACCATTAAGTGAGGGTTCTTATACAGCCTCACAATGGCTGATACCTTCTCTTACAGGATCCCATATGCTAACATGATCTCTTCGGGTTTGCTACGATGAATAAAGTCGAAGGCTTTGGAGAAATCGACAAATACAGGCACAGATCTAAGTTTCTTGGCTTTTACACTCTCAATTATACGGCGGGTGCTTAGAATTTGGCCATTTTGGTTTTTGCGGGGGATTTTGTCCAGAACATGGCCGATGCGATTCAATAAAAGCAGGTTGTAGATTTTGGAGGCTATTGTGGTGATTGTTATCCTTCTATAGTTTGTTGTTTGGACAAGATCTCCTTTCTTAAAAAAGGGGAGTATACAACCTTCTGTCCGGCGCTCGATGGGATCTCATTGATAAATTTGATTGTAAAATGTGAATAACTCATTGTCAAAGTCATCTATCAACAAGACGTCGGCAGGGATGTTATCAAGTCCACAAGCGTTTCCACGCTTTATTTGCTTCTTTGCAGCTGTCAATTTGTTCATGTTGAAAATTCCTTTCTTGATGTCGAGTTCTTGTTCGATTATTTTTTGCCTGGATTTCGCTGTAATTGTGGGCGGCTTGCCAAACAGGTCTTCAAAGTGCTTTTTCCATTTGCTGATCATTTTGATCAATAGCATTTATCTTGGCTTTGCTACAGCTTTTTCGGTCACTGATTTCATTGACTGTTTTCCATGCAGTCGCTGCTTGTTTTTTTTACAGATGCATTCACGATCTTGGCTTGTATGAATTCTTTTTGTTCCAAGTCTTATATTTCTTTGAGAGCAACTTGAGCAATTCGATGGCGATATCTGCTTTCTCTCGTTCAGTTTGAGTTTTTGCTGTGTGCAGCATTTTTCAGATCTGTTAATTTCTTGATTACCTCTTTAGTTTCCTATAAGGTTTGGTGTCGAGCTTTTCGTTTCATTGGGATTCTTTAATCTATCGCCAGTGCACATGCTTGTTCAAAGTTTCTATATGTTGAATTTGCAGAGTTTTCAGTGTTTTCATCCTGAAGAGCGTTGAAGCGGTTTGTAAGAGAAATCTTGAATTGGTTCGCGATGTCACGTTGCACAGTGCACACCAGTCATATCATATTTGTTGTTGTTTTTTTTTTTTGCTGTTTTAGGTTTGTTGGCTCAGAGTCTAAGCTGAATAGTGGCAGTAACAATGGCAATATATATATATATATATATATATATATATATATATATATATTTTTTAATTAATTAATCGAGTCTGATAGAAACCTCTACAGAATGCAGGAAGCACTGGACGGCCGTTTCGTCCTATATTTGGGACTCATCAGCAGTGCGCATCCACTACCGAGTATCGAACCCTGACAGTTGGGTTGTCAAGCGAACACCATACCAACTGTTCCAAATGGGCCTCGGTGACGAAGAGATTCCAAATCAGACTCAACTTAGCGCCGCTCGCTCACATATTCCGTGGCGGAACTCAACTGAGTTCTCTGTGACCATAGGACTGTGCCCCCGGTTCGATACTCGGTAGTGGATGCGCACTGCTGATGAGTCCCAAATATAGGACGAAACGGCCGTTCAGTGCTTCCTGCATTCTGTAGAGGTTTCTATCAGACTCGATGAATTAATTAAATATCATTATCAAATCCTCCTACTAATTACTAGATATATATATATATATATATATATATATATATATATATATATATATATATATAGTTATACTAAATCTGGAAAAACCTTAGGTGTTTTGGCTTGTAAATGAACAAACCAATACCCATGGAAAAATAAGGGATAAAAAAGAAAGAACTAAGAACATGTAAATGAGGCGAAAACAATCGCCCAGAATCCAAGCTGAGTCCAAAGAAAAAAAACCTCCAAAACGAGTAAAGCAAAAGTAACTACGTAAAGTGCTTCATACACTAAGTAGAGCAAACCTAACTATGAACCTAAAGAGACAGGTAAACCTATCTAGGTTTCACCTAGGCGGATCTATTAGAACCCATTTAAACACACACACAAACTTACCAGGCTCCATCCGAAACATACCAGTAGAAACTAGAAACATAACCTCATCCACGTATAAAAAAAGATTAAAAATAATGGAAGTCTTAATAATAAAAAAGAAAAAGCCAACGCTTAATAATATTAACTACGAACACGGCCATAATGTGCTGTGTTCGGAACATAAAACATCTCTATAACACTAAAAAATACACACAAAACACACACCCAATTAAATTGAAAGAATAAAATCAACCTTGATAATGGCTAAAAAGTATAGCTTAAAGCGCTCGGTCAGTTTTTCACGCAATCTGTGCTGAAACCTTGTTCGAACACAAGAAAATATAGCACTTAATCGTAGTACCTTGTCTGTCGTTTTAATGAAACATACCCTCTATATATATATATATATATATATATATATATATACAGGGTTCCATAAATTTCGTGATTTTAAAAAATTTATAACTTTATTATACTGGACCATGTAAACTCAATAAGACCTTCGATACAGTTCACAATGGAAAAAGAGAGTAACAACACACTCCCATTCCTGGATGTTCTAATATCTCGAACAGAGCATGGGTTTAAGACATCCGTATACCGTAAACCGACATTCACCTCACCACCATCCATACAGCGTAAAGAAAGGGATCGTCTGCTGCTTACAACACCGAGTAAAAGTCACAAGTGGCGACAAAGAGACGTTAGATAAAAGAATTGGTCAGCCCTACGTAAAAATCTCCAACAACACTCAGAAAACAGTCTGCCTGCCTTATGTGAAAGGGTTATCAGAGAAAAATACAAAGGATCTTGGTCCATATAACATCAGGAAAACTTCAATGTTGACGACCGACCAAGCCCCCCATAGAAAACATGAAAAGACAATAGCTGCGGAACCCCCCTCAATAAGGCTTCAAGGACGTGTAACACGAGGGGAAAAAAAATCAGGCGTGGCTGACCACATATGGAGAAAGAAGGGAGATAACAACAAGGAACACCATTGGAAAATTCATAAAGGAATGCAATATCTCCTGAGCCGACCAAGCATAAAATAAATACAATATAGGGAACCAGTAATAAGGAGTGCCAGAGAAAAGCAAAATAACAACAAAGTTGCAATATGAGCTCTGGTAAAACATGCAAATAACAGCAAAATTGCAATATGAGCACTGGTAAAAATGGCTGCTGAAGACATTAGGTTTATAATACCCAGAAATTTATACACAGATGTCCTCAAGGACACATGGCACAGTGGATGAAAGCGTTGGTTAGATCCAGTGACAGGACCCAAAGAGTGTGAGTTCAATAACCGGTTAAGGCAGTGGAGAACTTTCAGAGGGGAATTAGCAGGAGATAACTGATAACTGACATCCATCAAACATAGCACGTGGAATTAGAACAGTCTACCCCAGTGAGCGAAGGCCGGAACGTACAACGGCCAAAACGTTGTGATAAATATGGCGACAAAGAAGAGGACAATAGTCTGAATAATGTAAATAATGAACTTTATTTGTATTTGCGATAGAAATAATCTGTAAGAAATGTTATAAAGTTTAATGTACCTAATTTTAATTATAGCTAAAATAACTAATTTGATTTCAGGCATTAGTATAAATCAGTTGGCAAATATTTTCCGTGAACTGCAAAATCGTATTACCCTTTGTAATGGAAGGCATGTGTAAACTTAAATAAAATTTCAATAAAACCTTAAAAAATATAGATTTCCTTCTTTCTAATCCTTTTTACAAATTATTTCTATCGCAAATACAAATAAAGTTATAATTTTTTAAAGTGCACACGAACTTTATGGACACCCTGTATATATATATATATATATATATATATATATATATATATATATATATATATATATATATATAGATAGATAGATAGATAGATGAGTTTACCTCTGCCACCCACTTCGTCACGTCTATCTGCCCTCTCCCAGCCCATAACTTAACTTTCTTCTTCTCCTCCCACCTGTAAGACTTCAAATTTTGTCGTTGTGCCACTGACAATTTATTTTGACAGATCTTTCTACCTGTGTCTTCGTTTGGATCGTGAGAAAAACACGAAAAAAAACCTGCCAGGTACGTAGACGTGTGAAAACTTCATAAGAGATACGTGAGGAATGGTTCCTGGTTTGAGTTCAACGCTCGTATCGCAGACAAATGGATGACTTTGTCGCTGGTTGGGTCGAAGACAAGTGTCTTCAGCCAAATGAGTTGGCATCTACTTGTCAGAAAGCGCTGTCCATTCCTCATTCACTCTGGCGAGATCTTTTTTTTTATGATTACGCTAGTTGTAGTATTAGGGTAACACCTGTAATCAATGGACGCAGTGGAACCCAATGATTAACAGTTGAGCTTCATTTTCGTCATCGAAACTCATATGGACATTTATAAACGCTTAGTTTAGTCTGGGTCAAGGCTAAAAGCGCAGAGCACTAAAGTAGAAACTAAACTCGTTAAATATTTTTCAGAGGAAAATTTATTAAGGTTATAAGATATTGATCACTTTTAAGTTAGAAAGAAAGAAAGAAAGACAGAAATGATAATATGGATATAATGACGAAAGAAAGAAAGTAAGAAAGAAAGAAAGAAAGAAAGAAAGAATGAAAGAAAGAAGTGATATGTATATAATGAAGAAAGAAAGAAAGAAAGAAAGAAAGAAAGAAATGACGATATGAATATAAAAAAGGAAGAAAGAAAGAAATGATGATATTATTATAATGAAGAAAGAAAGGTAGAAAGAAAGAAAGAAATGATGATCTGGATAAAAGAAAGAAAGAAAGAAAGAAAGAAAGAAAGAAAGAAAGAAAGAAAGAAATGATAATATGGATATAATTAAGAAAGAAAGAAAGAAAGAAAGAAAGAAAGAAACAAACAAACAAACAAACAAATGACGATATAAATATAAAAAAAGGAAGAAAGAAATGATGATATGGCTATAATGAAGAAAGAAAGGAAGAATGATGAAATACGAACAGAAAGAAAGAAAAAAAAGAAAGAAAGAGGGAAAGAAAGAGAGTCAATTAGTGGGTGACATTGTACCCACTCCCTCTGTCAGTATTTCTATACGGCGAGATGGATATCGGTGAATATGCTTCTTTTTTTTTTTTTTTTTAGTCATCAATGTTTTTCCCCCAAGTCAACATCATGGCTTCCTAGCCAATCCTTTTTCATTTACTAAAACCAGAGATTACCAAACTTCACTAGATGCAACATAATTTCACCCCTTCTCACATGATCTCTCGTGACCTCAGGGGGATCGTTGTGCGTATGTGGGTGTGAGCGTGTACGAGAGAGAGACAGACAGAGAGAGGAAGAGACAGAGAGAGAGAGAGAGAGTTTCTGTATGTGTGTGTGCGTGCACGCATGTGTTTGTATATATATATATATATATATATATATATATATATATATATATGTGTGTGTGTGTGTGTGTGTGTGTGTGTGTCTGTGTCTGTGTCTGTGTACGTGTGTAGGTGTCTTCGTGTGTTTTTATTTACTTGCATATTTTTAACAGTCCCCATCTAACTAGTTTAGAAAGTTGAAAGATGTCTTCATGAAGATCAGGCAATGAACTAATTCACGCCTTTTTTTCTCTCTATGATTGCCAGTGATTAATGCTTCCTTCTGATCTTTAATCCTTTGAGACCTGACCACCGATTTACCGGTGGTAGAGAAAAATGACTTAATGCCCAGCCACCGGTTAAACGGTGGGTAAACACATGTAACTATTTTTATATCTACCATGAAACATTACATACCAATTATTTGCGAATTTTGACTCAGGAGCTCAGGCAGAAGGGTTTAAAATTTCCAGGAAAACGGGGCTCAAATTGTTAAGATTTTTTTTTATACTTCTCGAGAGCTCCTCTTTGCGACTACTCGGTCTCACATTGACTGCTGACCTGAGATGGAACAAATACATTGAGTCAATAGCTTCATCCACCGCAAGGAAAGTTGGCTGCCTGTGCCGTGCCAGGAAATTTTTCTCACCGGAGTCAAATCTACAAATCAATCATTCGCCCTTGCATGGAGTATTGCTGCCATATATGGTCTGGTACCCCTTCTCTTTATCTCAAGGTTCTTGATAAGATCCAGAGACAGATATGCAACGTAATTGGCCCTGATCTGGCATCTCATCTGCAGCCGCTCTCTCACAGACGTGCCGTCGCCTTCCCCTGTCTTTTTTACAAATACTTTCATGGTAACTGCTCCGATGAGCTGCTTTCGCTGGTTCCCAGACTCCATAAATTTAAGCGTTCTACTAGGCTGGCATCTCTCTCTCACCCTTTCACTGTCGAAACTGTTAAATGTAGCTGTCTCTTCTACTCCAATAGCTTCATGTCTCGCACCTCTCGCCTGTGTAACTCTCTCTCCTCTTCCTGTTTCCCTGATAGCTATAATCTCCAACTATTCAAATGTAATGTAAATCGACGTCTCCAGATGCCCTGATCTATCCCCTATCCTTCTCTTCATCCTTTTCTCTATCACTCCTATTTCGTTCCAACTCTCTGTAACCCCTTGCATGCTAGTGGCTTCCCACCTTGCTTGGGGTGGAATGCTTAAAAAAAAAAAACGAATTCTCTTTTTTTTATTTCATTCACTGTAAAATAACCTGATTTTTGCTTTATATGTATGTGTGATTGATTGATGGGCTGATTTAATTTTTATGGTTTATCAACCATTTGCAGGTTATTTAAAGCCAGAAATTCTTTTTAGATTGCAAGTATATTTTGGAGATAATAATGATTTACTGATACAAATCCAACTAATTAATCCATAGCTGGGGGGAGAAGAAGTGGATTCATACGTTTCCCAAGGGTATTTGCGCGTAAGAGAATATATCGAACCCTATTGGAATTAGAACTCGGCACTTCGATTTCAGATTCCGAGTCATTATCCATTACACCACCTGCACATCCAAGCGTACAGTACTTGGTATTCTCAAGTAGTCCCCCTTCTAAGTACTGAACAGTCACGACGTCGCTTAACTTCGACGATCGTTTATATTCAACCTGATATGGCATATGTGTGTGCGTGTTACCGTAAGTAAATGTTTCCATTTATATTGAGGGAATAGCATAAAAATATTTTTATTTAAAGAATAAAGCAATTTCCAAACAAGAGTATTATGATTATTGTCGCTCTCACCCCAATAATAATGGTCCGTTCACTACAAAAAATAAAAAAATATGATGAAAATCCGATTAACATTGAAAGATGAAAATGAAGGAAAACATTTTGGTTTCTGTATAAAATAATGGAATTTGAAGAAAATACATTTATTTATTAACAAATTTTGAATTGATTAGATATGTGTATTTAATGATAAATTATCACGTAAAAATAAAAAGAAATATTTAGATATATTAAATAATGACACATTTATTTACAAAAATAGGCAAAATAGAGGCGTTTCTCCTGATGGAAAACGTGATGCAGGTTCGATTTTATCCGGAAGCACAATCTTCCTTTAATTTACAATCTAAGCCAGTTGTTATTAATTTCAAGGTTTCAGAAAATAAAAAAAAAATTATCTGAGATAGCAACTGAAATATGTGTATCCTTTAAAAATAATGGAAACCAGCCTAAGAGGGCAAGCTTTGAAGGATGTTATCTAATGGAAGTACATTACTCGTTCCGTAGGATTTCTCAATTGAGGCCGTTTTTTATTAATTTCACTGTTTCAGAAAATAAAATAAAAAATCTCAGATAATGACTCGAATATGTGTATCCACTAAAATAAATAACGTTTATAAGAATAAAAAATAATGTCGAATAAAATATCCATTCGAAAATACACCTTCAAGATATATATGTGTGTGTGTGTGTGTGTGTGTGTGTGTGTGTGTGTGTGTGTGTGTGTGTGTGTGTGTGTGTGTGTGTGTGTGTGTGTGTGTGTGTGCGCATGTGAGTTCTGCGTTCTGGTTGTAAGAAGTGTTCAATGCATAATAACAGAGCTAAAATTTAAATATAGATTTTGTTCCACTCCGTAAGCACAATTCCGAGTTTCATGTTGAATGTTTTAGTTGAGTTTTCAAACTGCACCTGAATATTGCTACGAGCATGAAACTCAAATTTGTGCTACAGATGATGAACAAAATTCATATTTACTATTAGAGTATATATATATATATATATATATATATATATATATATATCTTACTTATTATAAAACGCAGATTGTGTGTGTGTGTGTGTGTGTGTGTGTGTGTGTGTCTGTACGTTTATATATTGGATCGGATTTCCTACATTTTTCAACTGATTTCAACAAAACTTCACAGGACTGCGTAAAATTACCTTGCAGTGGTTCTGACAACGCCAAAAATTGGAAAAACACAATTGTTTTTGCACGAATTCAATTTGAAAGCACGATAAAACACGATTCTGTCGCCAGAATGAAAGGGCGACAACTCATATCGAGTTATACCTATTATAAAACCCAGGCTGTTTGTGTGTGTATGTGTGTTCGTTTATATATGGGATCGGATTTCCTATATTTTTCAACCGATTTCAACAAAACTTCACTTTTTTTTGGCAGGTAGTGTTTCTTATTGTCTTGCACACTTTTTTCTTTATTTTTGCATTCAGAATGCTTTAAAAATTCCATTTACAAGACAATTGTTTATAATAAAATTCTATTCAATCGATAGACTCATAACGATTGAAAACAATGTTTTTGTTTGAGTTTGGGTTTGACCAATTCGTAAAAAAAAAACCCAAAAACAAAAAAAAACTAATTAAGACATGCGTGTCCGTCAACCTTAAACAATAATCTTTGTCAATTTTATTTTTCAGTCTTTATGATGGTCGATACTTGATCTATCTCTTACTGTTACATCCCCGGGCAACGCCGGACTCAACTGCTAGTATATATATATATATATATATATATATATATATATATATATATATATCAAATATGTGGTGCAGTTCAATTTTTATTACAATGAATCAGATGAAGTAGATTAGTAAATTTAATGATATAAAATGGCGAAAAATCTTCGCAAACAAAATTTGCATTAACCTACCAACCACTCGATGAATTGCTTTATATATATATATATATATTGTGTGTATTTAGGCAGCATTTTTTCATTGATGCATGTTTCATTAAATAGTATAGACAACTGTTGTCTATTTATTTTATGTAAATTCTTTTCATATCGTCTGATAAGCTTAATAACATTATCATTAAACGAAGAAAGAAAATCACAATATTAATACATATTTTTTAATCCTATCTAAGCTTTCGGTTTACATAAGCCATTATCAAAGATGACAATTACATTGCAATATATTAAGCAATACACGGACAAAACAGTGATGATAGTCTGTTTTTGTTTACATGGAAGATTTCCAAGCAACGACAAACTCGTGCATATAAGACGCTGGAAGCGAAATCGCACCACCTTAACCGATTGGGCCACAGATGATCGCTTAGCAAGGCACGTCAGGCTATATGACGGTTCCGTATAGGATACAGGTTCGATTCCTGTCGGATGACGAATATTTTCTATGAAGATTTCTCAGACATTCAGGCCAGTAAATGTTATTAATACCGTTTATTATAAAACAGAGCACTTAAATATTTGTATCTATAAAAAAATGTATAAACATAAAAATGTCTTAAAAATATTTGTCGGATTTTGTCAATTTCATAATGTGTGACATATATATATTTATATTTATATACATACATATTTTACAACGCAATTGGACAACAAAATCTTCAGGTGCTGATTGAAACTTTAAATTATACAACGGTCAGTTTTAAATCAGCACCCGAAGATTGCATCATGCATAAGACCCAAAATAATACTTATTAATAATAAATCTTATTAGAGAAAACTATACACTATCCGGTAGATTCTTACTCAGTCATCGACGCTCTTTTTCCCGAATAACATTTCTTGAATATTCAGGTCGGTAGATG